AGGCCTGGGATGGATGGCAGGAGACAAATCGCTTGATCATTGTCTTCGGTCCACCCCCTCTGTGGCACCTGGCACTGGCCACTGTCGGCAGACGGGATACTGGGCTAGGTGGATCTTTGGTCTGACCCAGTATGGCCATTCTTATGTTCTATGCCAATAGTTCTAAAATACACATGAAGTAACATTGGTTCAATAGTAGCTAAGACAGCCACTAAAAGAATCGGCATGGACACTTGATAACATTATAACAGTTTTCTAGTACATGGAAGGTTGTTATAAGGAGAAGAGGAAAAATTCTTAGTGTCAGGAGATGGTTTCTTGAGTGTAGGCCTAACAGTTGTTTATTATGCAAAAATAAATGTTTCCAATATCTACAATCCTTTTTCCATTACAAATTGGTTATTCTGTCCTTAAAGCTCACTTTTGCTTATCCTGCGTCCCACCAGGAAATGTTTTGGTTGCTTGTGCAGCTTTATCAAATTTTAAAAAATAAAACTCATGACAGTACTTAGCTTCAGATGCTTTTTTGCCAGAATATAACTCAAATTAAATAATAAAAAGACTTAAATTAAAATTGATTAACTCTCAAATGTTGTTAATCCAACTGTGTACCATAATTTTTGTACTTCGATTAAAAAAAAAGACAAAATAGTGAATCAAGGAACATATGCCTAAAATTGTTTTCCTGTGAGGTCTTCGGTATGTGTTGTTTTATGTGTGTGCATTCACAGAGAAGGTAAGCTCTGAAAGAATCTGCATAAATAACACTTTAATTAAATATAACTTTAGTGTGCATATCTAAAATATAGGTATTATCCATATTATTTTGGTAGTTTTAGGAGCTTAGCATAGTCAGTTAATGCACTGTTCATTTTATCTTTAGAGAGTTAGCAATATACTTGTTACGGTTCACATTCACAAAGGCACTGCGGCCTCTTAATCTCATATTTAGGCACCATCAAGGGGGATGGGTCTCCATTTGAAGCCTGAACATCAAGCCTCCTGTTTTTAACCCTGAATTGTGAGCTCCAAGAGCCTGAGTCGTTGGACCCAAGCGCTGAGATTTGCAGCTGTTGGCCTTTTTTTACAGTGTAGACAGGCTTTGGTACATATAAAAAACAAGTTGGGGCAAATCTGAGTCCGTGCATATCAGAGGCCTGCAACTGGAATTATAGAAATGTCAGAGCAGTCTCCCACAGTAGCCGCAGCAGTTGCTGAGAGCCCTGGGGTCTTCAGAATCGCTATGCCTCAGGACAACTTGCCCCTTTGTTTCCCTCTTCCTCCCGCCTGCCGACGGATGATTTTCAGCCTGAGGAGGAAAGCATTTTGAAAGGTCTTTCAGTAAAGCGGCAATAATTTGGAATGATTTGACTAGACAACACCATTTCACATACTTTAGGGAGTCCATAGTAGTGAATCCTGCTCTCTGACTCCAGAGCTACAGAGCTGAGGAATGTGGAAAGCTCTTGTCCAAAATATATAAGTCCTAAGGTCCATCAGAGGGGGCCACTTTCTGGAAAAACTTACAAAATGCATACAGCTAATCCTAGTCCTTTCACACTTTCAAGAAATTATTTTTGTTGTATGTTTGTACAATACCTAGCACAGTGGGGCAAGGACCTCTAAGTGCTACTGCAATGCATATAATAATTAACAATTCACTCTTGTATGTAGACTCCTCACAATCTTTCACTCATCCTTCGCTATATTCAGTACAGACAAAAAAAGTGTATACAACATGCTGTACGTATATACATACATAGTTAGTTTCACATGATGATCATAACTTGGTCAAATCAAAATCAGCATTCTCTAAAACATTTTTAAAATCACATTTTCTCAGATACCGCAGTTCATTCTACTTGAACTCAAAATGTGCTGAATAATTTCTTTTCAAGTTTTCAAAAAATTTCAGCTTGGGGCAGATTCGGCCCAGGAAATTTCTACTTGAAAATTTTAAAATTTCAGAGAAATATTTCAGCAACTAATATCAAGACCGTAGTATGGAATAAAAATGCAGCCTTCATTGTAGTGGTCACTGATATTCCTTCTATAATATAATTGTATTGTCTATACTCCTGAGATTTCCTGAAGAAAGGTGGTTCAGAGAGAGGTGACAAGAAAGACTTAAGTGCAAAGACAAATTCTCATAGGAAGAGACTTTTAAAAAGATGGAACTGTTTTAATTTGAAAAGCAAGCAAAAAAAAGAGAGGGAGGACATTTAAATATATATATAGGAGATAGAGAAAGTTGGTCTGGAGTTATGTTCTTATCTTACAATACAAGAACAAGGGGGTAGTTGATAAAATTGAAAGGTGTCAAATTCAATTCTGATAAAAGGAAATATTTTTCAATCAATGTACAATTAGACTGGAATCATTGCCACATGATGTAATGAGGTCAAGAATTTGCTAGGCTTCAAAGAATGATTGGATCATTATATCAGAGTTACACTAGATCATGTAAAAAGGAATTTGGAAGCAAATATATCCCATGCTTCAGCACTTATTGTAATCGTCACTGGTTAAAGATTGGTTTAAGACCTTCATGCAGAGCAAATCAACCCACAGCTGTCTGCTGTAGGGTTTTTTGCATCATCTTCTGAAGCATCTGGTGCTGGTCATTGTCAGAAACAAGAGTCTGGACTGGATGGACCATGGGTCTGATCCATTATGGCAGTTCCTGTGTACTTACATTATGGAGATGGAACATCATATTTGTTATATTAGGTTGGTGCAATGGGCATAAAGATAAAGGAATCATTACAATCTATGTATTTGATTTCTAGGTTTTTCAGAATGGTTATGTGTTTTGGTGTGTTTCCTTTATTTTTTTTAATAACAGTATTGTTTACACTGACATCAAGTTTCATATAGAACATGTTCTACTTTGTAGCAAAATTTCACATTCATATGTCATCCACTGTACAAGATTTACACTGTACAACTTAATCCTGCAGATCTGACTGCACTTGCAGGTGTTCAATTTGAGAGTTATGATTTGTGGTATAAATTGACCAAACAGCCTCCTTAAAACGAAAGCACTGTTTATTTTGTTTATTCTTACAAAGCTGTTTTTCTCTAAAAGGATTTTGAAGTAACAAACAGCCTAAATAATTGTCTTCAGCTTGAGTCCTGCTGTCCTCTAATGGAGACATGTGAAGTCCTAGCTTCTCCTGACACCCCAGCAGAGTTCTGTTATTCTTCTGTGTTTGTGGGCCTTGATTCTATGGGTCATAATCAGTCCTTAACAGGAGACAGAGGCAGACTCGTCAAAGCTAATAGTTCCAACGTTGTCCCTTAACTGCTTTTAAGTGTATACTAAGGTGGCTATCTTAATCCATTCTTTTCATTTCTGCCTGTGTTCCCATGCTGCCCTGCGATTCTTATGACAAACATCCCAACAATCATGCCATCGTACAATATTAATACATTTTCACAAAGCATCTCTACTGCTGTCATAGTTAGATACTGTTCAACCACATTGACTAGTGCTGTACCTTATTAAATTGCAAAAATATATTTGACTTTAAGTTAATTGCAGCTTCAGGTGTTCTGCACTTCTGAAAATCAGATCAGTTTTATTTTAAAATGTAATTCTGGATATAGAAATCACTGAGGTTTGAAAATTTTGGCCCTAATTCCTATAAAAATGACCAGGTCAGGCATGAACATATTTTCAAAACAAGTAGCTGATTCTGAGCCTGCAGTTCTGCAGTCCCAAGCAGGTACAAACAAGACAATTTAAATTGTCAATCATATGGTTTCTTATAAAATCAGATAGATGGCTACATTTGAGTATATTTTCATAATTAATCGCACCCAGAATTGATTGAAAATGAAAAATTAGAAGTAGTGCTGAGGTTCTTTGATCCTAAACACTAAGTGATATTTACCTGTGCAAGAGTTGGACACAATTGTTATTCTAGCACAGGAACAGTTCCACCAGTGATAGCATCGCTGGAAGACGAGGCATTGTATTTTTAGTTGTGTATCTATCCCTGTTCAGAACTGATCTAGATTATGTGATAATAAAAATGCTAGCAGCCAGCCTACACTAGCATTCCTACTGTTAGCACCAGTGAGGCCACTAGTGATACAGATATGGTAGGAAATTTTACAGCAAATCTTGAGAGTAGACTGCTTTCTATAGACTAGGGCATTGGATTCAGAGAGTCCATAGCCTTTGCAAATGGGAGTGACTATTGTGTTGCAGGATGCATTGTGCCTGTTTGAAGCACAATGCCCCAGAGATCCCAATGGGAAGTCATGACTCTGCATTGTCCACCCTGCAATATGTGACTTATTGTCACAACTAAATCCCTAAACAGTGTCCATAGCATTTAAAACAAATGTATAAAATATCTTGCATCATAAATATTATTGTTACAGGCAGTCCCCGGGTTACGTACAAGATAGGGACTGTAGGTTTGTTCTTAAGTTGAATTTGTATGTAAGTCGGAACTGGTACATATTGTAGGGGAAACTCTAGCCAAACATTTCTCCAGAGCTCAGTTTTATTCTCCCACACCTCACTTCCCTCAGTCCTTTATTCTCAAGCTGAGGAGTCTGCTGAGAAAAGCCGCTCCACGTCTCCCTGGTCGGCTGGGAGGGGTGCTAGCTTTGCGTCTCCCTGTCAGATAGCATTACCATCATCTTTATATCTAGTTCTCAAAATTAGCCATTGTGTGAATACATATAAAGAATCTGATATTAAAACAATTGGGCTGTTTTTGTCACCACTACTCAGTTTCCTCTTCTTTCTGTGTCACTATTTCTTTCCCACCTCAGTGATTTTTTTTCCTTTCCTCAGAAGTTGAAAATATGCAGAATTATTTTCATATCAATTTGACATGGATGAGTAGGGTTGAGTTATACCATAACCGTTTTAACTTTAAAGCTTTATTTACATGATCTCATTTATGATGTGAAGTCAGCCAAGAAAGTTGAAGTGCATCCTGCTAAAGTTTAACTTACCTTTTTAACTCAATTTTTTTCAGGCCTGACTGAACTCACTGACAGTCCAGTTTCCCTGGAGCTAGAGCGTTGCAAGTCTCCCACTTCAGGTAAAGGTGATTGGCATCTCCTCCTGCAGTCTGTATGAGCCATTCATGTCATACATCTGTGTTTCATTAACCTTTAGGATGTGAAGTACATCATCATTTACATTTATAAAAGCAGAGTTTGTTTGGAGGGGAGGGCTTGCTACATATCAAGGCATGATGCTAAGACAGTACATTTACATTAAATAAAAGGTACATTGAGGATGGTGTGTGGTGTGGGAAAGAAGTATGAACTCATTTGAACTGACAATTTCGCATTGGCTACCTCACTGTTTTTTTGTTAGCCTTCTTTAAAGAGCTAAAGAATTATTCTCTTTCTAACTGGCCTTTTTAAGTGATGTTATCAATAAAGGGAGGATCCATTTTTTTAGAATTAGATCATAATTTGAAGTGGTGTGATGTGGAGATGGTAACTCTTGAAAGCAGCTGATGTCTAAAGTGCTTCTACAATTTTGTTGTAGGAACATTGTATCAAAGAAAACTTAATCACACCAGCCTCTAGCTCTGCAAACCACAGATTGTCTACCAATTTGACCCCAACAGTGAAATCCTGGCCCTATTGAAATTAGGGGCAGGACATCTGGTCACCCCACTCATGTTTCTCTTCCTTTTGACTGGGATTTGCCAGCCTGCAACATTCCCTGTTTTCACTAGACATTTTTCCCAATAACACCTGCTTGTTTGCTTTCAGAGACAATTAGCAGATGCAATTGGTACAGTTATAAATACCACACAGTTCTTTCTATACAAGCCTAGATTAGTCTTAAGGTAAATGCATTACAGAGAAAACAGTAAAAACAATAAAAAGACCTATCTGAATGTGAATTCACTTATCAGACTTCATCCCAATCCTAACATGGATTCTGACAGGCTCAGACCTTCTGTCCCTACCCTAAGGATTGGGGTGCTCCCTGCACCAGGGAGCCTGTACCAGGAAGAAAATTCTGAGCCAGTTTAAAACCAGGCTATTTATCCAAATCTCTTTCTGTATCTGTCAGTTACTAGAGCAGGGGTGGGGAACCTCAGGCCTGGGGGCCAGATGCAGCCCCTGGCTTGCCTGGATCCAGCCCCTGTGGCTCAAGGCTCCTGCCCCTGTGATGCTGTTCCAGCCCCCGATGGGGCTGGAGCACACAAAATCTACTAGCCTGGGCCCCTCAAGGCTCTGCTTTGCAAGGAGAGTATGAGGAATGTCTGTGTCTTTCTCCTTCTCAGTCGGGGGTCACATCAGTGAGGGTTTGGGGTTGTTGGTTTGGATTTTTTTCCCCCCAGTTTGAAGTAGTAGTAATCCAATGGGGTGTCTTCTCTGGAGATTAATACTTCTCTAACCATCCTGTGTTTTTCTCCTGTTTTCCCTTCACATCGTAGTACAAACAATTCAGTAGTAACCAGATGCACAATTGCATTTTTAATTCAGTGAACTCCAAAAACATCAAAACTAATTCAATAAGTTTTAGCTTAATTCAGTAAAATTCATTCAGGATATTGCTGTAAATTGTCAGTATGTCATAGCAAGTTCAGCTGTTTCTCTAGGAACTTCATTTGTGATTGTCTAGTCAGTGTTGATCTGCTCAGCATGGGATTTGCAGCTGGCCCTTTAAATTAGGTGGAAAGAAGCAGCTAGAGCCTTAAAGTAGCCATTTTGTCTATGATGCTCCAAACAGCAACTTCTTTCTATCCATGATAGCTCGGTGGTTTGAGCATTGGCCTGCTAAACCCTGGGTTGTGAGTTCAATCCTTGAGAGGGCCATTTAATGATCTGGGCCAAATTTGTCAGGGACGGTACTTGGTCCTACCATAAAGGCAGGAGACTGGATTCCATGACCTCTCAAGATCCCTTCCAGTTCTGTGAGAGAGGTATATCTCCATATATTATTATTATTATTCAGTAAGTATTTTTAGCTACTATCATATTTCATACTATACCTCCTTTCTTATTTATGAGGAATTAACCGTCCACCAGCATGCTCTTCAAATCTTCAGCTTTTGGCTCCTATATTTATTAAACTTTAAAGGGACGTGGTCACTCCAGATCTGGCCCAGCAATCAGTATATTATAAAACCTAAGATGAATATAAATGTTTTGAAGAAATTTTAAAAACTGCAACAGAATTAGTTGGGTTTTTAAAAGAAACAGTCCCTGTAGTGTTTGCAACTCAAATGTTTCAGATGTGAAAACATAAAAGTAAAACCGGATAGAACAATATTGCCATTCCCAAGAATTCAAAATAATGATTTAGGCTCACTAGCTAAAAGGGTTGTTACAAGGAAAAATTGTTCTCCTTGGCCTCTGAGGATAGGACAAGAAGCAAGGGGCTTAAACTGCAGCAAGGGAGGGTTAGGTTGGCCATTAGGAAAAACTTCTTAACTGTCAGGTTGCTTAAACCCTGGGATAAATTGCCTAGGGAGCTTGTGGAATCTCCATCAGTGAAGATATTTAAGAGCAGCTTGGATACACATCTCTCAGGGTTGATCTAGACTAGGGGTGGGTAAAAGAACCTCCTCAGGATAGATCTCGCCCACCAAGTAGATTGATCCAACGAGCTGAGGCCCTGCTGCTCCCCCTGCCCCCAGGCCAATCATGGTCTGGGGGTGGGGAAATCGGGAAGTAAACAAGTGGCTCCCGGCAAAAAATTATTGCACATTCCTGATCTAGACAGTGCTTGGTCCTGTTGTGAGGGCAGGGGACTTGACTTGATGATCTCTCAAGGCCCCTTCCAGTTCCAATAGTCTATGATTTTACGGTTGCCAACTCTCCGGGATTCACCTGGAGTCTCCTGGAATTGGCATCAATCTCCAGTGAGTATTGAAAGCAATCCAAGAGATTTTAATAGGATATTTAAAGAAAATTACCTTATGTCATGAAGGGAGGGAAAAAATCTCTCAGAATAGCTTTAGTCAGAGTTGCAACCCTAGTTAAGCCCCCAAAATTAGTGAAATTGGCTTAAAAATAACAAATGTGTGTTCTTTTTATTTAACTTCTGTTGTTTAAGCCAGTGAGGTTTGCATTTTCCAACTTTTCTCTGCAGCTATGAAGGCTAAAAGCTTATATTAAAAAGAAAAATAAGTAGAGATTCTCACATGGGCCCCAAGTTTGCAAACACTTATGTGTGTGCTTAAAACTCTTGTGGGGTGAGGTGCCATTGGGACTAGTCATGGTAATAAAATTAAGTGCATTTTTTCTAATGCTGTCCAAAACTTTCTGCTTTAGATCAGTTGATTACCAGTTATTTCACAAGGGATTTGACATTTGTTCTGCTATTTGTCTTTTCGGGAAGCAGTAGTCAGGGTAAACCATGAGTGTTTTATGCATGTTACCTTTCTTAGTTCTTCTAAGCACGGCAATATTTATTGTGTTTGTGTCTTTGAAGTGTAAACTTAATCACCAGCTGAAATTGTATTTGCAATGGTTGTCATTCAAAAATACCTCTGGTATGAAACACACATTTCATTTATTTTAAATGAAACCTATTTAATATGTAAGCAAGGGTAATGGATTTGCAAAATGTAAAGATAGTTCCGCATCAGTATATCGACTGCAATAAGGGGCAAATTGAGCGTCCCTCACAGTTGGAATAATTAAACTGTGAAAATGGGATTGCCAGGTATTTTGAATTAGAATCCCCAAGATATAGAACCATTGAGTAGCTTACTGTAGTCTCATGGCTTCAGTAACCTTGGTACTGCTTGGTCCTTATCTTTCTTGGGGAGATGATGGGTGGATCTTCTTTGTTATGGGTGCACTAACTGCTATTCTACTACTACCTTTGATCCTCACAGTGTTCATTTGATGTGACACACAATGAGCCCAGGAAACTCGTCTCTGTAGCAGCCTCTGCACAGTCCTCTAATTGTTCACTCAATCAACTTATACGAGCATATCACCATCCACATCCACAAAAGAGACAGTAGGACTCGATCCTCCATAAATTCAACAGAAACATAGCAAGAGACCTAAAAAAGAGTCACCGTGGCTTAACCACCATGTAAAAGAAGCAGTGAGGGACAAAAAGATATCTTTTAAGAAGTGGAAGTCCAATCCTAGTGAGATAAATAGAAAGGAACATAAACACTGTCAAATCAAGTGTAAAAATGTAATAAGAAAAGCAAAAAAAGATTTTGAGGAACAGCTAGCCAAAAACTCAAAAAGAAATAACAAAATGTTTTTTAAGTGCAGGAAGCCTGCTAAAAAAAACCTGTGCATCCCCTAAATGATCGAGCTATAAAAGGAGCAATCAAGGACGATAAAGCCATTGCGGAGAAACTAAATGATTTCTTTGCTTCAGTCTTCACGGCTGAGGACGTTGGGGAGATTCCTGAATCTGCACCGTCCTTTGTGGGTGATGAATCTGAGGAACTGTCCCGGATTGAAGTGTCATTAGAGGAGGTTTTGGAACAAATAGAAAAACTTAATGTTAACAAATCTCCGGGACCGGATGGCATTCATCCAAGGGTTCTAAAAGAACTCAAATGGGAAATTGCTGAACTATTATCTGTGGTTTGTAACCTATCCTTTAAATCGGCTTCAGTACCTAATGACTGGAAGGTAGCCAACGTGACACCAATATTTAAAAAGGGCTCTAGAGGCGATCCTGGCAATTACAGACCGGTAAGTCTAACTTCAGTACCGGGCAAATTAGTCGAAACAATAGTAAAGAATAAAATTGTGAAGCATGTAGAAGAACATAATTTATTGGACAAAAGTCAACATGGTTTCTGTAAAGGGAAATCCTGTCTTACTAATCTATTAGAGTTCTTTGAAGGGGTTAACAAACATGCGGACAAGGGGGATCCAGTAGATATAGTATACTTGGATTTTCAGAAAGCCTTTGACAAGGTCCCTCACCAAAGGCTCTTGTGTAAATTACATGGCCATGGGATAAGAGGGAAGGTCCTTTCTTGGATTGAGAACTGGTTAAAAGACAGGAAACAAAGGGTAGGAATAAATGGTAAATTTTCAGATTGGAGAGGGGTAACTAGTGGTGTACCCCAAGGGTCAGTCCTGG